GAACAAAAATAAGCATGCAAAATAAAAACTAAATCAAATTAACTACAAGAAACTACAAAAAAAAACATGCAAAATAAAAAATTAATTTGAATAAAATCAACTTAATGAATTCTACTAGATAGAGCATGCAAGATAAAGAACTATTTCAACTATGGGGTCATCTTTGTCTTCTCCAACGTCGATCTGAAACAGATACGGTAGCAAATAGATTAATAAAGAGCAATTAAAATTAATTATATAAATTATTCTCACCTTAATTAATTGTAGAACGTAACGTTCCAAAGTTTACAGGTGTCAAAGCAAACTAACTCCAGGAGGAACACTGTAGCAGAGAAGTTGTTATTTCAGTGGAATTCAAGTAAATATCCAGTGGCTCTCACTCATGGGTTGAAAATTAACTGTATGATGTTACAAGGCGAAGACGAAACAGCAAATGAAGAATATAATCCACGAAAGACCACACCCATGTAGTATTGGCTGTTTCAGTATAACCAAACTGAACATTAATTCTCTCCCGTTTGTTGAATAACCTGCAGAAATGGACAAAAAACGTATTAATTACACTTATAATTAAGAAACACAAATAAAAACGCATCAAAAAGCAAGTAAAATTAGTTGACTTATAAAATAGCAAGTGTTACTTTCACGCCATTTTACATCGCAATCATAGATCACGACATAGATAAATGTCAAGTAACACAACGTTAAATTACGATGGACAATAGAAAACGGTTAAATAGAAAATCCATAGATAGATAAACTCCATAGATAGATCAATGATAAATGTCATTTTCTTCTGTGGAAAATAAAAACTGTCAGAGATATACATGCGCAATAACCTCTATTTATACTTTTTACAATAGGGAATTGTTAACAGAAATTTCATAACAGATTAATAAAGAGCAATTAATATTAATGAAGTCATGTACTCTCACCTTAATTAATTGTAGAAAGTGGCGTTCTGTGTACTGCAGACAATTTGTTGTTCCAGTCGCTTCCAAATTAATTAATTTCCAATTGCTCCCAATTGTTACGGCAAAAATTAACTGCATAATGTTGCAAAGTGAAGACGTCAAAAGCATCGGTTGCTTTAGTAGCATCAAAATTAACTGCAATTCTTTCTCATTTGTGGGGCAATCTATATAGAAACAGGGAAGAAAAAGTAATTAATTACAACTTTTAAAGAAAGTAAATCAGTAATATTTTCATCTGGCGATATAGTGGTAAAGTTAGAAGTTAACTTTCACCTTGATGGAAAGGCCAGTTCCACAATAATTCTGCTTTTTCCATTTCTGAAGTAAGGTACAAATGTCTAAGAAATCAAGTTCCTGGGACCCTCATTTACTAATTTTAATTGATACTGTTACATACCAGTTTATTGTCATAAAACCCTCCTTCAGCACATTGTCTCCATTCCCAAAGGAAAAAGGCACATTCATGCTCTCTTTATGACCATAGATAGGAACACACTTTTTGGAGTCAATGAAAACCGACACAATCAATGCTCCACAATTTAATGGCATCTGGAGTTCTTCTAACGTCTGTGTAAAATCAAATATTATGAAAAAGTATTCAAACACAATAAATTTAGCCCCCCCTATTAAGTAGAGTGCATAAATAAACTGTTAAAGTAACGTCGTACCCTTTTGTCTTTTAATATCAAACAATATGTATAATACAGCATGTATGCTCACCTTAATTAACTACAAGAGCATCCAGGATGAAAAGTTAACAGCTAAAACACCACAGGATACAACTTATCTTTTCAGTAAGCAAAGGATACCAGTTCCAATCTCTCAATTGTTGGCCAATCTGTAGAAACGGACAAAAACAATTATTAACTACATTTAATTAATAATATTTCAAAGGTGTTTGCTAAAATAATAGTTCACAACACAATCTACAATTCATAATAAGCTTTATTTAAGCCTTTTCACTTTTCTTCCTTTCTCTCAAATGAAAGTCAAAATATATGCCGGCAATAGATAAAAAAAATATACACTCCTATTAAATAAATGAAACACGAAATAAAACAAAAACACGTAATGAAAAACCACTATCAAAAAGGAATAAAATGGCAAAACTTTAAAATGGCGACGTGGCCACCTGGTGTCTTTTTCAAGACAAACCTTAACAATTTTGTTAATTTAATTTATGCTGTGGGCAATTGCAAAAACTAATAATGTAATATGAATCAATCAATCTAACCTTTCAGGCGTAGATAACAATAAAACTAATTCTACGAAAAAATTATCCCGGCAAGTTGAATGGGAATGAGACAGGAAGAAACGTGCTCCCACTACGAAACTTTACGAACTTATAATGTACCAAACGCGATTCATGCCTGTCGCGAAATTGCGATTGCTACTGCATGAAGCACTGATGACGTAGGCAAATGCCAATCAGAAGCATCAAATTAGATTTCTGCGACGGTTCGCGGCAAATATTTCGTAATTTAATCAATCGCGTGGCTAGTTTCACCCCCGTTTTACAGAATTGAATTTCTGTGTGTTTTTGCTTCGTGCAAGTTCCATCGCCCGATCACAACTCTGGCTCCAACTGAATACAAAAGCGAGAGAGATAGTGAAACTTAAAAAAGAGAGCAGTAGAGAAGATAATGAGTTTTTTCTTTTCTAGTTCGATTTAGAGATTTTCTACAATATAAATTATTTAAGGATAAGAAATAGTTTCCCGTCCTTAGAGATGGAATAGGTATTTTCATCAAATATAATTATACCTTTGAAATATACCTAGCCTCTATTCAATAAAAAATTCAAAAAAATCTGTTCACTATCAGTGAAGAAATAGCGAAACATACACATGAAAAGAGAAATACAGTCGAATTGAGAATTAATAAAAAAAATTATACATAAAGCCATGATTAAAAATACAAGAAAAGTAAACGGTTTGTTTTAGTTTATATATGAACATCTGTTAATTTTTTTTTTATTTTTTATTGTGTATTAGTGATTAATAAATACACAAATCAACGTATTTTACCGTGGTTACAATTTAATAATTTTTAGCAAATTAATATGTTTTCTTTCTTTGGTTTTATTTATACAAAATCAAATCAAAAGATTCTTAGTTAAATAAACTGTACGTATTATCATCAATTTATCAAGCAATAGACAAGAAATTGAACTTTTTAAACATTAAATGAATCAAATTAAGAAACTAAATAATTACTGTGTGACATTTAAGAAGTACCCCATTATTGTGCATAATTATAGTTTTTTTGATATATTAATGAACAACTTTTGTGATTAAGCTTTCGTGTCTGGGAATTAAATGAACAACCTTGACGTACAATATACGATAAACAATGTTAAATTGAAGGGTAAATAAAATTTAAACTTGAACTCATCTAATCTGCCAATGTTACTTATTCAGAATTTGAAGTTTTTATAAAATTAATAACGTCTACAATAATTATTTTATACCAACTTTTACGGGCAGATTAAATGTCGAGAGAGCGCTCTAGGCTAGCACCTCATAAGCGCCCCTCTGGCAGTCATATATTTTACAAAATACTTTTTTTTTATTAGGTACTTCCATATTTCTTTTTTTAGTTTTAAAAACTTCCGCGCGCGCCCCTTTTTAACCTTGCGCCCCTAGGCATATGCCTACTTTGCCTTATGGATAATCCGCTATTGGCTATATCACCTTTTGGTTTCTTTTAAACATCTAATTGAAATTAATTGACACTGCATTATGTGTAACTCGATTATTTTTCCTCGCCATTTTTCCTTGACAAGGTGTACAAGACAGAGTGTTTGCATAGGAGAGGCAGTTGACCTTAGAAAAAATTTAGTGCGAATTACATCATAATTTAGCAATCATGTTCATCGAGAAAAAAGTCGCAAATCCTCTTGATTTGGACAAAGTAACAGATAATTTTGCAATATAAATAAATACGCCGCATAAGTAGTTTTCCATTTAGCAAAGCTTCATGAGAAGTTGAATGCTAATACCTACATATTGTTTTAAATTTTATGTTATATCTGCCTTCCTTGTTTTTTAGCGTAAATTTTAGCATTCTAATTAATTATTAATAATAATTTGTATTTTTACACGGGTTTTAATTCACCTATGCAGTACAGTACAGTACAGTACATTCGAATTACTATTTAGTATACGTATAGATTAGTTCAATGCATGCATAAAAATATAATAAACATTATTTAAAGTTAAATAGTTAATGCAATTCAAAATAGCCCAAAAGGCTTGAACGGTCGAGAATAATTGTGAAAACAAATTAAAAGTCCGTGTTTTCAAACCGCATGTCAATGAAAAGAAAGGCAGTTTTAGTTATAAAACCCTTGTGAAGAAATTGACAAGCAATTTTCATTGGCATAAAAGGGTGGGAAATTTTCATTTTTAATTTTTATTTGAGATAATTCAAAATTACAACTAGTTTTTCCATTCCTGTGCCAACGAAAAGTGCATACTACTTCGTACGGGGGTGTTAGGTAAAACTAAAACTTCATGTTTTTTTATTAGCATGAAATTTTTGAAAACAAGGATTTATCTAAAATACAATGGTTTTTAAAATTGTAAACGTTAGATGACTAAAAAAAACTGTTGCATATTTCTCAATCTTTAAACACAAAAAAGAGGCAGGTTTATTACTTTTCTTCTTCATAAATCGCTATTTTTGATAAAGAAACATCTGTCTTACATTATTTCATTTATATATTCTCATAACAAGTTTTCCATATAAAGCTAACACTTTTTTGTCCGCATTTTTAACTATAAAGGCCTTCGCCTTTCTCTATCAGTATTACTATAAAAAATTGTAATGTACAGGACACAATACAAAAATGTCCACTTAGAAAAATATATAAAACAAAGTGAAAACGTTCATTTACATCAACAGTGTTAAGTGCTGTAAAATCACAACTAATTTCATAGACTACTTAAGTACCAAATAAATTTAGATTATTTAATTAAAATCCAAATATTTAGTTGTTTACAAATTTCGACTTACACTGTAGCATTTCTATCTTTATCTACTAGACTACAGCGCACTCATTTAATTTCGCGGGAATAATTCAAATCAAAAATACTTTTAAACACTGCTCGTGATTGTTAGTCCTTCATATAGGCAACACACTGTACTGCAAAGTATTCTCGTCAACAGAAGTAGCCTCATAACATTTAATGTAATTTAGTACTTTCAGTTTGTTTAATAAAGGAGAAATGAATTTATCAAATTATAAAAAAATACGTTTTTAAATTGGAGGTTAAAGCTGCACAGCAGTAATTTAATCTATGAAATTCTTTTCACTATTGTCTCGGAACAACTTTACTACGTTCTGGTACTTTCAGCTCGTTTAATAAAGAAAGAATTAAATTATCAAGAAACAAAAATAAATTTTTTATATTTAGTATTGAAATTATACCCCGAAAATTTCCAATTATAAAGTTAATTTCAGTGATGCCCTACTACACTTTCAATAAATTTTGGTACTTGCAGCTGTTTATTAAAAAGGTAATTTATCAAAAAATTAAAAGGAAGCTTTAAAAAGGGGGGTTGAAAGTGTACCCCAGTAATTCCCAACTATAAAATCGTTGCACTGATGCCTTGCAACAACTTTAGTACATTTTGGTACTTTCAGCTTATTTAATAAGGAAAAAAAATATTTATCAAGAACTACATCAACCAATACAATCAAAATGAACTTTATGCTCAACATAATCTGTACGAACAGACAAAAAAATAATTAGCTAAATGTAGTGACTAAAAGTTGTAAATCAATATTCCCTAATGCTTTACTAATTTTTTTCTACACTTTTCTCCCATCGAGTTGCAATCCAATGAGTTTTGATAATGTTTATGTGAAATTGTTACATTAAACAATCTATCAAATCATACTTAATTTAGTCTCCATAGTTAAGAATTCTATAACAGAATCTTAAACAATAGTGTTGAGCACCATAGAAGTTTTTATTATAACGGTACCAAAGGGATAACTTACACACTGATAATATTCAGTAACCAGTACCTACTTTCTTATTTTAATGTAATTTTTAATTAGGTCATGCATTCTTACCTTAATAAAGTACAAAATGTTTTCACGTGAAGAAGACAAACGAAAACGAAGTGTAGGTAGAACTGCGTCACCAACACCATCCATTTGAGGATACTTAGTAATACTTAAATAAACTTCATTATGCTTTCATTTTATCAATCTATAAAAGAACAAAGAAAAAACGAAGTAGTTACACAATTACTGAAAAAGACATGAAAAATTAAAAAGTACTTAAAGATAAGAGATATATGGTGGGCCGTAAATAAGTGTTGTACATATATCCCTTATCTATGTCAAATGTAAAACCAAGTAAAACCAAAACCTAACATACATAATTTTCCATTGAACAAAAAAAGGAACATTGCATATGCTCAGATTTATCAATTAATCAATAAATAAACTAAAATAGTCATACAATTTCAAGTTTCTAAATTCTAGCTAGATTAAATATAAATAATAAATAATCAGAATGGTTGTTTCGTATTCTGACATAATTCTAATTAATTAAAAAATAAGGTGCTAGTTTATCAAATTAAATTCTGAAGCCTTATGCAGTACAGTTATTGCAATACATATTTACAAATTCATTATTTGACTATTAACACATGTCTAATTAGTAAACCTAGGTACCTAATATTTTTTAAATAATTACCATATTTTCTCTATCCACATAAACTAAAAATACCATTAATAGACATTTAACGTTATTTTTACCTACGCAAATCTTTGAAGGCCTAAGACCAATTAGTAGGAATTTATGTAGCATGGCTCTCTACAACAGCAGCATTCCGTACAATAGCAAATAGTGTAACTTGAAAAAGATATAATTTGATTATTTTACATAAAATATCGTAGGAAGATTACGAGTGAAATATGTATATAAGTATTAACATTGTATAAAGTTAATGTTTTTTCGTGTTTTTTAGTGAAAAGTAAAACATCACATTAGGTTTAACAAATAGAAATATATTAAAAGAAAATTAAACTAAGGATGTCACAACATACCTAATAAAAAAAATTAAGACAACAACTATTCAGTTTCCACTATCCAGTTTTGTTAATAAAAATACTGTTAATTGTCAATCACTGTTTACTAATAAAATAAACACGACCCTATTTCGTATTCTACTGTATTCCATAGATTATATATTCTTATCTATCAGAGAATAGCATACAGCTTAGCCATAGATAAAAGTTTACTAAGTTTAATCCATAGGCTTGACGATTAATTAACTAAGCACTCTATGACCAACAGTATACACACTGATGTGGCTATTGTGTCGAAAACGGAATCACAAAAAATAAATATTTGTTTAAACGCCTTTTTTTGGCATAAGAATTTCAGGGGAAATATACGGAAATTTCATAAATAAACTAAAAATAAGAAAAATTGGGAACGCATTTGTATTGTTGCTTAGCTGTCAAGCTTTTTGCTATAACCTTTTTCCCTTTTTATCGTCTATGGACTTTTATAGTTGTAAGTGGAACTCGCAACCACGTTGTTAGGTAAGTTTTTTATTAGAGCTTGTTTTTTGTGATTTATTTTTAATTTACAATCAGAATCACTTAGAAAATTAGTTTATAACACTTTCATTTATATGTGGTAATAATCGCTATTTCCTTGGAAGTAGTCGAATTATAAATCATTTCGTCTTGGTCTTTAGGTTATGTCGACAAGTGAAAATCGTTTCTATTTACAGATAGTTGAAGCAGCATGCAAATTTTTGTGAAAACTCTTACCGGAAAAACAATCACCCTTGAGGTTGAACCCTCAGACACAATCGAAAATGTAAAGGCGAAGATTCAAGACAAGGAAGGTATTCCTCCTGATCAACAGAGGTTAATTTTCGCTGGTAAGCAATTAGAAGATGGCCGTACTCTTTCTGACTATAACATTCAGAAAGAATCGACCTTACACTTGGTGTTACGTTTAAGAGGAGGTATTATTGAACCATCATTACGTATCTTGGCTCAGAAATACAATTGTGACAAAATGATATGTCGCAAGTGCTATGCCAGGTTACACCCACGTGCTACTAATTGCCGCAAGAAGAAATGTGGCCACACCAACAATTTACGCCCCAAGAAGAAGCTAAAATAGATGACCAGGGGAAGAAGAAATTGGTTGCTTTGGGCAAGATTATTTCAAAATACTTTATATCAATGTAAAATTTGATTAAAATAAAAATATGAAAAACAAAGGAAGTCTATGAGAAAATTTTTTAAAAATATATATATCCACTAATTACTGAACTTTGTAGTTACTGAAATTTGACTAAATGATTGGAATATAATTAGTGTTCAGTAAAAAAGTTAAAAACTTACAGAAGAAAAGTCATTATATAAACAGCTAATTAACTTTCAAAACACTACTTAATGCGGATTTAATTAAAATTTCAAAATATTGGCACCATGATATATATAACATATTTATATGTTCCTGTAATTGGGTCACTATATGAAGTTAATTACAAAAAAATGAGATGTAATAATATGAGCTTTTCTATCTATTCTTTAAAATAAAACGTGAAGTGTATGATTACTCAAATCTCTTGAAGATTATTAAGACAGACTATTTTCGTCAAATTATTCGGGATTTAAGCAAATTATTATCCAATTGTAAAATACCGATTCGTTTGCGTCAAGTGGACTAAATATATTTCCACTAAATTAAAAAAGAAAAATAAGGGAAGCAAATATTAACTATATAAACTTTCATTCTGTTTTAGACTAATTACTGAGGTATATAAAATAAGTAACTAACAACAAAAATATATTTTCGTAAAAAAAAACAAAAACAGCAATATTTTACCTTAAACTAGCATACTTTTTGTATATATCCAAATCCCTTTTGATAGGATTAAATCCTCCATATTTGCCAACTCTCAGATACCTTTTGTAGATATCAATTGATTCTGGTTTGACTTGTGGAACAGCAACTTGGAATGAGGAGTCATTTGAAAAATTACTGGTTGGAGTCCACGACGATATGTTACAACTTTTTATTGTACCATTGGCCTTCTTCCCAATAAGGACGTACCTAAAATTCTTTAAATTAACTCTTTTCTTTAATTAGAATAAAAAAAATCATTAGTTGCAGATTCCATATGGTAATATTTAATATATAAGTTCTAACGTATACTTGCTTTTTATACAGTAGCAGATCTGAAGACTTTGGTGGTACAATTTCAGTACCATATGCTTGTAACATAGAGGGAAATAATGTTCCCTAATGCTTTACTAATTTTTTTCTACACTTTTCTCCCATCGAGTTGCAATCCAATGAGTTTTGATAATGTTTATGTGAAATTGTTACATTAAACANAATTAACTCTTTTCTTTAATTAGAATAAAAAAAATCATTAGTTGCAGATTCCATATGGTAATATTTAATATATAAGTTCTAACGTATACTTGCTTTTTATACAGTAGCAGATCTGAAGACTTTGGTGGTACAATTTCAGTACCATATGCTTGTAACATAGAGGGAAATAATGATTCAAAGGTCATTTTGCTAATGCTCTCCTTTGAAGATAACATTTGAGAATCATTCGTCATAACACTGTTATCATCTTCTTCAGTTTCAGTTTCAGAAACAGAACTACAAAATCTTGTTTATGTTTATCAAGAAATATAGCAATATACAGATCAAAATGAGATTGTTTACAACAGAAATTATAAGAAATAGAATCTAATGGGCTAATGTGGAGTCTAATTGTTTTTACTACTCATAACTTTAATTTTTCTTTTTACCTGGTACTCGATGTAGTAGAGCTGGTAGAACTTTGTCCAGTAAGGGATGGATTCTTCGTACCAGTATCCTTATTTCCGCATTCTTCTCTTCTTCTTCCTGGTCTAATTCGAACCACGAAAGGACTATAATTCGTCGTGAAATTGGGCATAAAATCGCGCACGGAGTTACTTATTTTAAATACGAACATTTCATCCAAAATACTTAATTCATCGGGTCTATGATAGTCAACATAAGCATCTACCATTTCGACTTGGTCATTATGTAACTGTACCATTTCTGTGCAAATTTTGGTGAGGTCGTTATATGCATATGGGAGACAACCATAAACATCCGTCTCCCACCACTGAGTTAACGGGCGATCTCTTTTAGAAATTAATGTTTTATTATGAAGGTAATAGTCGTTTAAGTGTTCCCACAAATGGGGTTGTCCCTTTTCAGGCACAAAGAGCCCTAAGAACAAGTTAATTGTGTTTTGCTTTTCGGCATCCGAAAATGTATTGCTGTAATATCTGCTTAGGGTCTGCATTATGTCATTTCCCTGGAAAATTACAGTGAATGTATTTAATGAAAAAATCATTTCTGAGCTTGTTAGTTTGAAAATCCGAGAAAGATTACTAAAATGCTAAAAACGTATGTTTAGAGTACAATTCTGTACAAATACGAGTATGAAATGTAAGATGTTCCTGTGAAGATTGATTCAGGGTAGGAAAGATTGGAGATGCGTGTCCCAAACAGTTTTCGGACTGACGACCTTTTGCTAATGATATTTAATTACAATATTCGTTTACATTTATCAAAGAAATCAGAATATTAAAATGCAATGTTTTACCCACTTGCGAAGTCCATGGGGCAGTTTTTCTGTACGTTTTTATTCTATGAACTAATTGAGATCCGCCATATTGTAGAGCCAAAGTATCTCCATGATCTTCATATAAGCTTTCTAACATTCTAACGCAATCCGTATCAAATTCTAATTTTGGAGAATCTAGAAGTCCTAAAGCACAAAGCTGATATCCCAAAGCGCATCTCCCAATTGCAAACTGAGCTGTATTTGTTCGGTCTAAACAATCTACGCAATTTGTACGAATTATGCCCGTTTGAACCGTAAAATTTGAAGAACTGCGCTCTCTCTTTTGACCAGCAATTGTAAACGATTTTTGTGCGTAATAAGGTTTTTTATTATTAAAAAATCCTGTTTTCAGAACAGCAGTTTTTGCAATATAAGCTAATCGTTTCATGACATCTGCATTTCCTTTGTTCTTTCTTGCCATATCGAATGTTTTATATTCAATTCTGAATTGTGGGGGCAGGAACTGATTTAGATAATTTACAGCTGATTCCAGTTCTTCACTTAAAAGTTTTTCATGCTTTTTCTTTTCACGCTTTTTTACTAGATTTAAAATAATAATTGGAGCTCCATACCGTTTCAATAAGTCATTAAAATGAGCCCCAGCTGTTTCAGCATAGGGATCATATAAATCAATTGTTATGGCAGGTTTAGCTACCATCTTTCCAATGTCTTGACTCCAATGACCTGGAATTGAGCCACGCATTTGAATAAATGAAGTGAAATGACCAATATTCAAAGATGACACTTCTGAATTATGTACCATCTGTTCTGTTTCTACTTCATTAGCAACATCACCTTCAGTATTAGCCCCACGTTTTAGAAACCGAGTTCCTGCATATTTTGAGGATCTTCTAGCTATGAGGGTAATGTAAACTGCTTTCCCAAATATATTCATATTTGATTGATCTATAAACCCATGAACTATATACAAAAGCCAGTCTGGATGTAGTATATGCTCAACAGGCTTAATTAGATGAGAATTCCAAACAAATTTGTAATGTGGTTTTGTTCTTATCCCATACTCTTCATTGTCCAGTTGAGTTTTTGATTTAAATGAAACTGATGGTGCATTTGGTACTGGAACGTCATTACTAACATGTTTTTCTGATGTTGGAATAACTTGCCAAGGATAGCTCAAATTATGTTGCAATGTATGGGTTAAATCATAACTATAACTGTAATTTAAGTGTCAGCTTAAGCTATTAAAACATTTTTAATTTGAGGCTGCCTCACCTGAAATAAAAATTACTAGACAGATCAATACTTTGGAACATTTTTACATAGCGTGACTCTTCAGGGCAGATTGTTCTAACACTATCATTTGGAATATAGATCATACTTGTATCTTCAATCTTATAAATTGTATGGTAACCGATATGGGCGACTTTTCTTCTTTTAGTGATTAAAATTATGTAGTAACCTTCAAGGAACCGAACAAATCCTATGAAAGATTGCAAAAAGATTTACAGGAAATTACTAAGAAAATATAAATTATATACCTTGAATACCAAAAGCAGCAACAATTTCATTAAGGTTGAGAAGTTGTTGTATTTCTTCTTGCTTGTATTCAACTTTATCATCATAAATCACCAACTCTTTTGGTTCGGTTCTATCAATAGCCAACACCCTAAATCTGGTTTGTGTATTATTTGTGCCCAATAAATAAAATCTCTGAAATATAAAGGATTTTAAATAAGCTGATACATTTAAGTAAAAATATGAATAAACGTGCCGTTTTCATTTCGAGAAGTTTAATTTTTTGTATGCAACTAATAAGAGGATGAAATAGACAGCTGCCTTTCTCCATTTCTGTAAAAATAGTAAAAATAACAGTAAATATGGAGAAAACAATGAAATTTATTTAAAAGTGTACGTAGGTTATGTTTGATTACTGCTTGACTTGTTTTGACCATAGAAAGTTTTTGATTTATATTCTATTGTTGTTCAATATGACCATAGACGTTTTATATTAATGGCAGTGTCTAAAATACCAGATTTAGGTTTTCTTGAACCGTTGGGGAGTGTTGCATTCAAATCATAATTATTTTCTTTTTACTTAATCATCCGCTCGGAGAAGAAGTTGAAATTTAACCTATTTCAGGAACAAATAAATACTTAATATATTTGGAGAACGATCGCTCTTAAAGTTTCCCAAAAATTTGAAAAATTTAGCAACGCACTGCGATCAAAATAAAAGCAATAACTTAACCCGAAACAAAAGAATCTAATTGTAGAAAGCATCATCACTAATAAATGATAAAATACATTCGTATGCTGCACCATGAGCGACCATGCATACGAACGAGTATAACTTGGTGACGTTCTTATGACTACGTTGGGTTGGGTAGGATAAGTTAAGTTACATTATGGTAAATAAAATTTTCCTTCCCTCTTCCCACCGAAGAGAATATCTTACTCCCCGCTAAGAAGCCTAAAGATGGTAGTAATAACTAAATGGCTTGCTTAATACGTATACGCCGCGAAGCGTAAAAACGTCACTAAGTTCTATTCGTTAGTACGTTGTGCAGTAAAGCAATGAGATTTTGGTTACGTTTTATGCTTAACAACTGACAATACCGACATTGATAGCCCATCAGTGTCCCACAGCTACATGCTTAGGATTGCGAAGGACGATAAAGACAAAATTAGAAAGTTACTAATTAAGGGTCTCTAAAAAAAATTTAACAGTTTAATGAATTTACAAGTATATTGTATACCCAGTAGTTGTCACGTACGGTCGAAGTTCGACTAATTTCCTTTCAAACAAATAATATACATGTAACTTCAAATTTTTGCCGATTTAATACAGTGACCCAAAATTTGCGTCTATGACACAGTCTTTCACATCTTTTAAATGATATAAGTCTAATTCCTCACCTTTTATAATAAACTAGATTTAACCCGCGGCTGCGCTCGCGTTGATATTTTAAATATGTATCAGAGATCATTGACGATCACATAAAATTGATTTTTCTATCCCTTGGACACAGTATGTTTTTTTTAGATAAAACGTACCCTATGTCCTTTTCTGTATTTCTTATAATGTGTGTACAAAATTTCATGATGATCGGTCGTACAGTTAAGGCGTGAAATCGTAACAAACAAACTCGCATTCACATTTATAATATTAGTTAGGATACAGAAAAAGGGTACGATAAATTGCGACGTCTCCTTCATCCTATAATTGAATCTACTTTTTTGAGTTGCACAATAGACATGTTTAAGTTAAAATTTTTCATAAAAGTTTTCATAAATGGGAATTGTTTTCATTTTAAGCTCCTAGGAGATATTGATTATACGGAAAGCTGATACGAAAAATTATATGTTGCATTGCTTTGAGTGGCTGTTTTAATCTTAGGGGTCGTTAAAATACAATGACCTAATAGCTAAACATATGCATCGATATATCAAGGTGAAACCCGAATTTTTGATTATTTTTTTTAACGTTACAATAACAGTAGTAGTGAAGCAGGATCGATTTGTAACGTAAATGTCCAACCAAGAACAACCATCATCCGGAAATACGGAAGTAGATTGGGATATTTTTAAAATTCTTTGTGAAAATCCAGAGGTAGGTGAAAGCTTTTGTTTATATTTACATTTACAAGTCACAACGAGATAAGTTATTAACAAAAACAAATAACTAATTTATATTATTATAGATACTTTAGCGCCTATTAGGAAAATAATAAGAGAAGCCTTAGGACAAATGTTCTGATCTTAATTACCTATTTATTCCTTTTCCGCTCGTTTTACTACTATTATAATTTTTGGATTTTACATTTTAATAAAACGACTATTTTTTTACACTGTTTATCCGCAGTCCCACAACAATATACTCCATGCTTCCCTTCTGAAGCATGCAATTTTTATATTTTTAAAACTGGTGTGGTCTGTGGTAATTAAAAAACGACAATTATGCTTATACATTTGATAATATCTCAAAAAAATATGTATTTGAAATAATTTTTTAATGCTTAGTCTTTGTGTTTATGAACTTATACAGGGTGCTTATTAAACATACGGAAAACTTGAAGAGGTTATTTCCTGTTTATTACAAGAATATTTTATTGTTTGGTGACTTTTGGAAAGCTTCTCTTCTACGAAGATATAGGGCGATAAATGTTTTTCGACATAAACAATGTTTTTTTTCTTAATCTTAGGTATATGTATAGCTTTTTAATCTACAAGTGATAAAAATAACTATCACCACCTACGATGAACTGGCAAACTCTTGCAAAAATAGCAGGATTGTTTCTTATAAAATTACGCCCTGCAAAGGATTTTTTTCCACATTAAAACCTCACGACCAATTACACTAAAATGAGCTGATGTATCATCGTGAATAAATCATATTCTCTCCGCAATTAGTTATTAATCAGAATTGTTGTTAAAAAAATTGAAAAGTATACTATATACTTAATCGGTTGCATTAATAAAATTTTAAAAATATCAAAATTGGTTTTGTTTATTTTCGAAATAAATTCGTGTGTACCAAAAATCATCAAAAAACAACAAACTTAAAGTTTTGCCGTAATGTTTAACAAACACCCTATATATTTAAGACAAACATTAAGTCAACAAAACAGTTGTGGAATATTTTCGCATTTGAAAAATTAACTTTTTTTTTGAGGTAGTTATCATTTTTAATTTTATTACCATTTTGTCCCACGTTTATGATGGAATATACAGGGTGTTCCGCACAACTTGTATGTACTATAATTGTTATTTGTAGCATCAATCAAAAGTCACAGATAGGTTTATATAAAATTGTACGTAATATATTTTGGCTACTAGGAGGTAATTATGTATGTATCTGGAGCATCCTGTATTTTTCGTATTTTTAATTCATTTTTAGGTAAATATCGAGATGTATGGACCCTCTCTCGGTTGGGGGAAGATAATGCGTGGAGGGTGTTGGGGTAATCTTGTAGAACGCCAAACAAGTGTTTTCAGTTGTTAGCAGATTAAAATTTCAATTTCTTTATTATATGGACACGCTAAATAAATTTTTGTGTATTGAACTGCAGTAATAAATCTTTTAACTTTTATCGCGTGTTTCGGTGTCACGAAATAATTTTAAACCTGTCTTCAAACATGATGTTTCACATAAATTTCATTTTATTAAATTGAATATGGGTTTTAAGTAAAAGAGAAGAATTGCAGGAAATGAAAAAATTTGATCGACTGGATCGGATCCATATTAACGGCGAACATTGAGAAAAATTGGAAAATTTATCGGTAAAAGAAAAGAAAGATATCCATTCTATTGAAAAACATGAACAATAATAACAAAATAAACTAAACTTATGATACACTTATTTTGATGGATATCAAAAAACACTTCATATGAGAACAATAATAATTGTGACCAGCAGACAATTAGTTGTCGTCCTCTTAGGTGGGCTCAAAAATATCGTGTCGAATGTTAAAAAGAAAATGAAGTATCTTCAATTCAAAAAAAAAAAAAATATTGGCTCGGATTACCATTTTTCACTTATAAAGTTTACTTCACACAAAACTTTCCGTCCTGACGAAATTTTATTTAAATTCTCTATAGAACATCACCCATTAATATTTTTCATTCTGTCTCATATCAACTGAACGTATATTATTTAGGATTTTATTAAAACGAACTTTTCAGGAGCTCACAGCCCCTCCTTGTCGGATTTGGTAGATGTATGTATATATATGAATTTAATTACGGAAATCAGAAAATTGTTCAAAACATATTACAGAAAAGTATTGAAACTTAAGAAAACAAAAGTTGTCCGTAAACAATGCTCTGTAAATTAATTACATTCTAGCGAATTTTATTTTGATCGACTTAATTAGCGAATTAACAACAAGAATGGTGGCTTTTCCTTTAAAGAATATTTAATTAAATTATAGGTTTTCATATTTTCAGCAAGTGGATAATAAAAAAACAATGTTTAAATAAAATGTTTCTTTAAGGATGTTTGGGAGGAATGTCAAAATGCTACGAGACAAATAAAAATTTGGAAGAACGTTCCTCATTCAATTCTAAAACTCCTGTAAAAATTACAAATCGATTCACTAAACCGTTAAAAAGTTATTGAAATTTTAAAAAATTGTAATTTTACACGTCATTTTATGGAGATTCGTTAACCGAACAGATTAAATTTATTTTTATTAACAGAAAAAAAGCTACCAGAAATTTCAAACTTTTATAATAAGTAACTTGAACTCTGGAGAATCACTTTAGCGTAAGGTTATTCAAATTCACTAAATGGTTATCGAGGAAAAAATGAAAAATTAGCTGAAAATCTCGTTTTTACTTGATAATATAATGATAATATTTATAATTGTCTGAAATAAATGCAATTTTAAAGTTTTAATTATTATTTAAACATTTTAAAAAGTTTTACACTCATTATTAATAGAGATTGAAACTAAATATTTTTTTGTTTCGAAGTTGAAATCAAGGCATATTCACTGTCAAAAGTCAGTTAAAAATTTTCCATATTATTCTTTATTTCTTATTTTATTCAAAGTTTTTGGTCAAATTCCAAATTTTTAGTATTTATTTACCTCATGATATGCTGTAAAACCTAATTAATCATGAATTTCTAATATTATGTACTCTTGTCTCCGATTGTACCTCCCAAACATCCTTAAAAGAAGTACTTACAACAGATAGGGAAAAGTAGGGGTACGGGGGACCCACCTTCTTTCTTTTAAATATACATAACTTTTGTAGTCTGAGATAGTTTCTGCATTGCACCGTGCAGAACTGAAAATTAAAAATTAGGAAAAATAATAGTTATAGTTCACTTTATGGGACCATAGGCCGGTAGGGAAAGGAAAATGAATGGAGGGGGTTGATATGACATTGTAGAGTGCTAAACAAGGGGTTTTAGGCTTAGGGATCGAGGACTCGATGCGCAAAGGAAACAAGGAAAACTTATTGAAAAAAAACTAACGTAACGTAATCCAGTCTTAATCTAACCTAACGTGGTAGGTGACTTTTGTCTAGAGTCCTAATTCTATTTCTTTTTTTTTTTATTTCTACAAAAAATACAAAAATTACTCCAGGAAGCATTTTACTATGTTTGTTTAGGTTACAGAACGGCATGGGAAAGTAATTCATATATGGAATTAATTTTTTAAAATTATTTTTTGGGTTTGAGCATGTTTAGACCTCTGAAAGCAAGGTAAATCCTTTGGTTCCTACGAATTGCCGATTTCGTATATGCTTCAAAGGAAGCTTCCCAGAAGGAGAGTAATCACTGGGAATACCGCGGGCGGTATCATTTTTCGCATTAAAAGTCAAGAGATTTTTTTTTAATATTTCCATGGAAGAGGGGAAATCTTCAAAAGAGACCCAGCCGTCCATACGACGGGGTAGTGTAGGATTCCCGAGGAAGAAGTCCTCGGACCTACCGACTAAAACCTCTCTACCTCAGGCCGTTCTAGGACCAATTAAGGTCCTCTTCAGTCGAGTCAAGAGAGCGGCGCCTACGTTCACCTATGTAGTACTTTCCACTTTCTCGTCACAAAACCAACAGGAGGATTTTCATGAGACTGTTGGCTTTCTTCCTACATTGACTAAGAATTTGTTCTTCCCAGTTCCTGCAGTTTATACAAGAGATGAAGGCCCTTGTCTGTCTACTTCCTGGTTGTGTTTACCAGTCTCTACATGGCTCTAAAGTGACCCATCGTTCTATTTCTTATTTGATGAGATTAGGCCAATAAGGTGTTGCTGTCGTCTCATTCTCATTCCTCTTCAATTTAATCTTAATTAATTAATACCTTTCAATTTAGAACTACTAGCAAATCGTAAATCAATTATTATTTAACAAAGAAGCAGCTGGCCATATAATTATATGCAGTAAAAAAGGGCTCACCAATGGGGTAATGGGGCTCACTTGTTCCAAGGAGTTTCAACCAGTAACGTCTACATCTTTTAGTAATCGTTTGTTTAAATTTTCGAATGCAATATCAATTTTCGTACATTTTTTTATTGTTTCTAAAATGTTCCACACTAATCAAATTCTGTTAAATATGAAATGTCATTCTTCCGTTCTTCCTCGTTCTGAGTCAATTAATTAAATGAAACTAATATAAGCGAAAATGCGTCTCATTGGTGTGTACCAACACAAAGGAATTTACAACCTTTATGTGAAGTAATAATACGAGAAGGTTAATCTTTGGCAACATCAGTGCATGTTCGTGTCAGCTTATCATAAAAGTTTACCTTGTTTGACGTTCCGGGATATAATCGGCGAAAGCTATATTTAGGTGGTTGAATCGAGTCAACCCTTCGCGTTCATCCGAGAGCTTGGAACGGGTGGTAGCGGTAAGCTGCTGCCGTTTCATTTCCTTCCCATGAAACGACCCAATTGGAAAAATCGCGTGAACGTTTCTCTATGTAATTTTCTCTCATTTGGTAGATGGAACCCGAAGACGTGGATGTTACCACGGCCTTGAGGAGCGAACTGGCCGCCCTCCAATACAAGAGAGACCGATTAGCAGAGGAAATCAACGAAATGAGGGGGCAGATGAGACACAGGGATCAGCGATGCTTGGAATTACAGGTATCTGCTGCATAATCTTTTTAACAAGCGAAAATATTAATATGGGAATTTCCATTGCGTTTAAAAAAAATGGAATTTTCACACTGTTTTTTGTATTGATTTTTGATGATAAAACATATACAGGAGCACATTATTTTGTGGATTTCACAACAGATTCAAAACATACGCAGACAAAAGGCACATTTAAATTAATAACTTTTATTTTAAAATTATTCGTAATTTGACAAAAGATGTGTTTAGGTAATTAAAACAGTGCTTTTAGAACATAAGTTGATTAAATTTTACTAGAATGCCTTGAGATATTTACATTTTTTCAGTGATTTAATTGTAAAAATTGAAATAATAAAATAAATAAAATTTAAACTCAAATTTGGAACTTTTATGTAACATGTTTTTTGTTTAGCAGCATTTATAAATATGAATAAAAAGAAAACTGTGTGCAGTAATGTACGAAAAACAGGATAGTATTTATTATAAAATACAAAAGTTATTTACGTTCTCATTATATTGCCATCTGTGCTAATTTAACGGAAGGCTTGCTTTAGGAAAAGTATATTCAGTGGAAAATAATTAAGATTTATTTGTTCCTAAGCAAACACAAAAGACTGCTGAAACATTTAATTTTAAGGATTCCGTACCTCGAAATAGAAAGATGAAAGGTATCGAGTTGAAATTAATACCAAATGCAGATGTCTACAGAGACAATAGTTGCGTGAATTATTCAAGTCAAGTCAAAAAAAAACGCAGTATATGTAATAAGAAGACACGGAAATTCAGTGCGTATTTTCATATTGAAAGATTAGAGGATGGTTCACACTACACCGTTTCGGGTCCGAGCTGTAAGCGTGCCGAGCCCGTTTTGCCGGGCCTAGCTAGGCCAAGTTGTACATTCGTGCTACACCGAGTTAAAATGTAGAAATATTTACAAATACCAAAAAGTATTTCGGCGTCTGTTGTTCGGTTGTTAACTTCTTTTCATTTTTGGATGTCTATCAAAAAATCCCCCAAACATTGCTATTTCTATTCGTCCAGAACAGAAGTGGTGAAGTGTGAGCTACGACTGACTATTAGGATACTTTCCGTTTACCGGATGACCAAAAATATTAAAATTTGTGATAGTAAAAGAATCTAAAGGACATTAGAAAACAATTAATTTTTAATTCTATGTGAAACTAATACTTGACAAATTTAATTTGAAAGTTTCTTTAACAACAAAAAAATCTATTCAATATCCGATATTAATTAATTTTACAAAATTCTCATAGTTAATCCTTTATTAATCCTTTAACACCTTATCAAACCTTCAGAATGCAAATCACGCCCTTGTCCGTCTTTTTTTCATTGAAAGCTGGAATTTTCAAGATAGTTTATCGTTAGACATTTAACGAAAACCTTTTTTTTAAATCTTTAAAAACAAAAAACTTTTGAAGAAAGCCAAGTATTAAGTTTGGCAAACAGGTAGACATCATTTGTAAATTTTTGAGAAAAAAATAATTTACTTATAGTAGATATGCTTCTTAAAAGTGACAATTAAGAAAAAAATTAGTTTCTTTCATGCAACGTACTTGAAAGACGCCGCCAAAGTTTCTCAAACTTTGATACCATGTAAACTCAGAAAATGCTTACGATTAGGGTTAACTTTTTAACCACCTGTGTGACGTAGAGTACTCTCACTTTTACGTATTGGTCTGTATTTTATTAATGTTAACATATTTCACATAATTATCACTCATTTGCATCTTTATGAATCATTCCTAAAAGTTTTTCTTTTTACGTGAAAGATTGAAGCTGATCAGCTACGAGAACAAGCGGCTCGCCAAAGTGCTGTAATAGCATCATTGAAGAAAAGGATTTCGGAGTTAGAAGAAAGAGAACGAAATCTGTATGCATCTCAAGGAAGGAACGAAATAGCCATACAGACATTACAAAAGGATTGCAAATACCACGAAGAACGTTCTAGAGAACTAGAAAAGAAACTCAGAAACATAGAATTGGAACTGTCATCAGAAGAACAGAAGAAAGAAACAGCCCGATCTGCTCTCCACGATTTCGTAAGGAGGCTTGCTACAGCCTTAGGGACTGACGTTGACGAAATCTCACATTTTTCACCGGAAATGGTGATTCACAAGGCTTCCGAATTAGTACAGGTTTGCTACAGTCTTAAAAATAGCTTTCCACTTAAACCTATTAGTAAATTTTGTGATGTACAGGAGACAAGCCGTTTACGAAATAAATCTTCAGGTTTAAACGATACGTTAGCTACGATAGAATTGGAACTAAGATCATGCAAAGACAACCTCGAACGTGCAATTACCGATAAAGAACTGTTACAAAGACAAACGGCAAGTCAACTGTTGGAAATAGATCGTATGCGGCAAGAGAAAGAAGCTTTGGAGATGCAATCACGGGTGCAGGAGAGAGAACTGGCGGAATTGAGAGAAAAATTTTCGTCCTCTACAAGGACTGTTGGCTCTCAAAGCAGCTCAATTGCTCAGTTAGAGGCAACGGTATGCCAACTTCGAGGTACATATATTTTAATTATTATCCACACTGAAGAAAACTTGGGTCAATTTTAGAAGGCGAACTCCAGCATTAGTTTTTAACTACTCGTATTCAAAAGAAAATCATTCTCTTGGTATAATAATTTTCTAGGTGTCATTAGTAGAAACATAGGTCAAGTAAAAACGACTACGGTCTATTTTATTTTATTTTATTTTTCTAGAGGAGCTGAAAGCTTCAGAAGAAAGATGCATACGTTTACAAAATGAACAAAAGAATACTCTAGAATCTATGTCGATGTTATTGAGCACGCCTTCTAGGTTCGTTGAATCAATCGAAAGTTCAATACGAGATAGAATACGAGAACTGATTAACGAAAATCGAGATAAACATGCGGTATTTATTTTCTTTTTTTTTGTGTAAAGTTCTCATTTGAAATATCTGTTGTATTATTATTTCAGCAAGTGGAAAGCTTGACGGAAAAACTCCTTCACGAATCGCAACAACTTTCGAGGCAAATATCTTTGAACGATCAAGCCAATGCAAGAATCAGGTCATTGGAAGAAGAAAAGAATCATCTGGAAAATCGATTACACAAATTGGATTCCGAGTTAAATGTATGCGAACATTCCAGGGAAGGATTAAAGCGAGATAGGTCACAGGTAGGTTCTACTTACGATTTGCCCTTTCTTCCCAGCAAAAGTGTCTTATTAATTGAATGTTGTGTCGATTATATACTATATACGAAGGGACGTTTTCAAGATGGGATGGGGAGTAAAAAGTGGAAATGAAAGTACGAATTTATTTTTCTTTTCAATATATTCACCTGCTACCCTTATACATTTTCCGATCTTTCAATTAACTTACGTACACCTTCGAAAAAAAGATGTTTTGTCTTTGTCTGAAAAATACGCCGAAACTACATCCTTCACTTTTCGTCGCTTGTAAATTTCTTCCCACGAAGACTTTTTTCAAATTTGGGAATAGGAATTATCGCTGGGAGCTAGATCAGGACTGTAGGGTGGGTGAGCCAAAATTTCTGCAAGGCAGGCATCGCAACACGGCTCTTATAAACAGGCGCGTTGTGGTGCAGAAGGAGGACACCTTCTTTCTCTTCTTTTTTCCCTGACTGCGTACTTTAACCGCTCTAGGATTGAAGCACAGGATTCCCCAGTTATGGATACAGAACAGGATCCCTTCTGACTCTTAAAAGACTGCCGCCATGATTTTCCCAGCTGACTGCGACACCTTAAACTTTTTGGGTGGTGGCGTGCTTCTTTTGTGCCACTGCATAGAGTCCTGTTTGGACTCACGTTCATAATGATGAACCCAAGTTTCGTCCTCAGTAAGAATTCGAGTTAATAATTCACTACAGAGGTCTAAAAACGCGCGAGAACACTCCACATGCTGTTGTATTTGAGGCGGAGTGAACATTCTCGGCACTCATCTTGCGCTGACTTTTGCCATGCCAAGATGATAGTAAAGAATTTTAAAAATGGTTGTATCTGACACTCCTATCATTTTTGCGAGCTGTTTCTTCTTAAGTCGGGCATCTTCCAGTATTAATTTTTCAAGTTTTTGAATGATTTCCGGAGTGGTCACCTCAATCGACCGGCCTGACTGTGGGTCGTCTTCAAGTGAGTCCCTGCCTTGCTTAAGGAGGGTATGCCACTTGTAAAATACGGTTATACCCGTAAACGGATGATATCTCGATATACTCGATTTTCTCCATATTTTACAATTTTTTCCCGATTGACTTGTTTCGTCGACGATAGTTCAAAGACTATTGACCTAATTACTATAAAACTTGGTATTTATACTCATAATGAGTTGCTTAATTCGTAATGACTCAAATAAGTACCCTCACTAATGACCTACTTACCCATTCTGCGAACTTAAAAACGCACCCTCGTACTACATCTGGCATTTTTTTAATTACGCCACTGGCATACAACCCCATACAGAGAAGTCAAACGGATTCAAATTAGAACTACGCACCGGCCAACGTACAGCGTCTAGGAATACGTTCACCTGGAAACTCACACACTGGTCAATGCAGCAATATTCTACACTGACCTATGAAAATGACACATTGACCTACTTCTATTGACTTCAATTGTCTACAATACATAGTTTATTTATTAGAAACACGCTATCTAAATAATATTTCTGAGATTTTCAGTCGGAATATTTGCCAATATTAATACAGGCACAGTCGTTTCAGAAAATAATGAAGATTAAACTACGATTACTTTTGTTTTAGTTTATGTCATTCCTTCAACGATTGGCGAGAGCGCTTCACATGGATGACATTGCTGAAGAGGTGGGAGTGGAGTTGCATACGGAGTCTCTTTTGCTTCGAGCTGAACAACTTGCCCGTTTAGAGAGCGACAAGCTGGTTGATAAGGTATATTTCATTTTGAAGCCAAAGGGCCAAGATAAGATTTATTAAAGTCCATGTATCATGCTTAGATTATTAGTGAGAGATATCAGATGCCGCCGCGGCTTTTATGGCGTGAACGTTCGTGTCTTGACCGACCTTTGAGTGAAGTAAGATAGTATTATAATGAAGCTTCAATATTAGGTGTATAATATATTTAATAGAAATTAATACAGAGGAAGTAGAATAATATACAGCGTGGCTCAAAACATAAAACCGATGGATAGTACTATAGCTAGTGTAGTTATTAAGTTAATTATAAGGGGGTTTTCCTTAATTGTAAAGTATCACTCGGTATTGTATTCCCAAGATTTAGAAGGTCAAGGTCAAGATTTACATTTCAAAACCATACAGCTTTGTTTTTTTCCGAATTAACAAGAAATGTACATGTATTTCACACTGAATTTACATACGCGACTGGAGTTAAAAATGCTTAAATGTTTCTTCGATAAACACATTGTACCTAGAGTAAAAAATAAAATTAATACGAATTTGTGTCTTTCTGTGTCTACTCCTGAGTTTTATTTTATTGGTTTTGAGCCACGTTATATAATAATAATAGTAATAATGAATTAATAACAGTATATTGTAAAAGTATTATTCGTATGTGCACAATATGATAATTTTATTATGGTATATACCCAGATAAAATATTCATTAATTAAAGCCGTCTTTTTATGTTGCTTTAAGAGTAATATTTTGTGTTATCGGCCTTTTTATTTCGTAGAGGCAGTTACAGGATTTAATATGCTTAAGCACGCCTATACCTTTTTGTTCAGTGGTCTATCGCAATTTCGATCTCATCAGCACACCGTAGACAGTTCCGATAGAACACCAACCAATTAATTTGCTACCGTTAAGTAGCATTCAACGAAAAATTATACAGCAGTGTGGTGAATGCCATCTTTAGATTACTAATTGTGATCTACACCAAATTAAACGCAGTTAAAAAGAATAAATAATGCACCAAAATGGTGGCTGATGTGGTAACAAATATTTTAGAAAAATGAAAATATTATTTGTTGAGATTTTTGTTTTGAAAGGGTCATACCTGTTTGGCTAATTAAACAACAGAATTCTTATTTCAAAATACTAAAATTCTGAACAATTTAAATTTACTTTTTTCGATATTTTAGTGATATATCTTTCGCACTCATTATGAATAAAGTTAACACAATAACACATTAATTTAACTAAATAGCTTTTGGTTATCCCATATATTTACATATAAACGATAAATGATAAATTTCTATTATTGAAGATTAAATATTTATGCCTAAACAACACTTATTGTCAAAAACCAAACTGAATATTGTGAAGTCTAGCGAGTATCCTATTTTAAACCATATTACAAGACTCATAATTTTAATATTTGAAATTAAAACAATTGCTTTATTGGGATGGAGAGAAAGAAAATTATTATGCAAGAATCGAGTAGATACGAGAATTCGCAAATTTTCTTTCCTTAGACTGCAGTAGTGTACCAGTTACAAAGAAGGGTCAGAACGCTAAGGGAACAATTGCAAAGAAAAGACCTTCATCTGGATCTGCTTAGAAGGAAACTAGCACTTCAAGAGGATTGCGTCAAGACAAAAGCCCTTTTGCAAAGCGAAAGAGATGATGCAAATGTTAGAGTAAAGAAGTTATTGAAACAAGTAGACAAATTAACCCTTCAACTATCAGATGCCAAAGATCAAATAAGGGACCTTAATACGCAACTTGCTGAAGCTGCAGATTATAAGGTAATGTTGCAGGCATATCTACGAAAATCGATATTTACAACATTTCACATCCAAAATTATCTAAATCAAACAAAATAAAATGAATGGCAGGCATTACGCGTTGCATCTGATTCATTAGATTTGACGAAAAAGGAGTTTTAGACAAAGAGTATACCTATGTTTTTGAAGGGGAAATCAATTGGTGACATTGAATATGACCTTAATTTTGACTTTTTCACTATCCCAGTTGGTTAGTTAGTTTTAGTTTTGGTCTTGATCTTACTCAAAGACTTCTACTGTTCGTGTTGGTCTTGGTGCTGATATAGTCTATGTCTTGGTTTTGGTCTTGCGTTTTTACTTGGTCTTGCTCATTTATCTGATAAACCATTAAGAGTTTATTCATTAAAAAATGTAATACAGCAGTACATAAGGAAAAGCATTGCAATCGGCATTTGCTTTTTCTACATAATTAAATGGCGCCAGGCGGGCGGCATGTTCGGTTTTATCAAAGACTTACAACAAGCATTGCTAGATATAAAATTTTATTTTAGTTTGCAAATTTGTCACTTTTTTTAATATCCGGCTCGAAGGACCATTTAATTATGTAGAAAAAGCAAACGTCGATTGCAATGCTTTTCCTTATGTACTGCTGTACCACATTTTTTAATGATAGATAGATAGATAGCTTTATTAAAAACATTATGTTTTATATATACAAGGTGCAAAAATATGTTTTATATATACCAAGTACAATTTTTATTATTTTTCTTCTCCTGCTATTTTTCTCTTCCATAAGATTTCTCTCATCCTTTTCATGTTGTTCACTCCTTCCAGTTGAGCTTTCCAGCTTTTTGCAGAACTTCCCGTTTCCCCACATCGCTCAAAAATATGTTCAAGCGTCTCTGGCTCCTTTTTACATAATCTGCATAATTTCTTTTCTTCTTCCTCCCAATACCTTGACGCTCTATTTTCGCTTCCCAATCTGAATCTTGCAGTTAATTGTAGGTGGTTTTTTCTCTTTACTCCTTCATCTTTCAAATAATGAGGTTTTTCTTCTCCTTCTTTCCATAATATCTTGTACTCTTGAGCGAATTTCATGTTTCTCATTTTCTCTCTCCTTCTTTGTTTGTCAATATCTTTAGTTAAGTTTTCTAGTTCCTTCCATACATTTCTCTCATTTTCCAGCTTCCATATATAATGTTTGATTGACCATCCTCTCTCCATTAAAAAATTCTTTCTTTCTTTTTTCCATCTTTCCCTTGTGGTTTTCTTTTCTTCCTTTTGCAAGAGCGCAATTTTGTCCTTAACTTTTACACATTCTTTTAGTATTGCGTTGCCTTCGGAATTTAATATTTTTTCTTCGTACTTTAAGGCCCTTTTTGAATATTTTATGGTCAGTTTTTCATATTTAGTTTCTTCCTGAAGAAGGTATCTCGGAGTACTCTTATCTAGCTTTAGTGTCCATTTAATATATCTGTCCTGAATACTTTCGATTTCTTTTCTCTCTTCCCATCCCCAGATTTCTGCCCCATACATTATTATACTTTCTACTAGTGTCTCGAAAAGAAACATTCTCTTTTTCCAGCAATCTCTTAAGTTTCTTTCTCCTATTCCCCATACTTTTCCCATTACACTTAATGCCTTCTTTTTCAGATTTTTAATGTGCTTGTCTACTCCATTATTCCTCTGTAATATGAAGCCTAAGTAATTAAATTCTGTAACCTCTTCGATTGTTTTTCCGTTCCATTGGAATTCGACCTTTTTCTTTCTTCCTCCTGCCTTCTTCCCTCTTAAAATTTTTGATTTGTCTGTATTTAATTCCAACCCTCTTTCCTTTATGTATTTGTTGAATTTTGTTAACATTTCCCTCATTCCTCTTTCATTATTCGCTAATAAAACTATGTCATCTGCATATGACACTGACCAAATTTTTTTTCTACCGATTACTATACCTCCTTCTTGCGCTGTGCTCATTTTCTTCTCTAAGTTTGCAAATGTTGCATTAAAAAGTACTGTGCTCAGTGGACACCCCTGTCTTATGCCTTCTCTCATTGATATAATCTTTGATTTTTCCCCA